ACATACCCACTAAAAAAATTCCAATTCCCTGAAGCTTTAGCTGAGATATCAAAAGACATGGAATTCCATGGTTAGAGTCTATCAACATATATGTTGGTCTTCTTTGCTCCTTTCTCTTAATATACCTTTGCTCTTCTCTGTCATAAACGCTAATAGTAGATTACCATAAATATTTTTCATGATAGAGTGGTTCTGGTAAGGTCTGGGTATAACAGAACATTCATGAAGAGAAAGGATAGCCAAATTTTGTAAAAGGACAAGCTGATAACCCAAGCTTACCTGGAGGTATAAACTACAGTCAACTCTTCGGCTGCAACTGCTTGAGACACTGACAGATACACTCTAAGAAACAGATCTACTTACTATACGACAGAGCTCCATCTTACTTGCTACGTTAAAGAACTGCAGAAATACCTCAAAGGGCCTTGAGTCCATGACCATTCTATAAGCACCTTTCCCACCCAGATCCTTCCTGCTCCTTCCATTCCTCACTGGCCTGCTCCAATGTTTGCTTACTTTTATTATTTTTGTAACCTGTGAATATAATCTACCCATACTGAAAGACATTCAATTCAAGCAATTCACACTGATGCACTGTAAAAGTTAAAATCCCTCTTCACCCCATACCGATGGCAGACACACCTGGAGGAAACCGCTATTAGTATTTTGAGACAGACTAATTTTTCAAGAAAAATCTAAAACTGGCTGAGTGAAAGAACATATGCTTCATAAACTTTTATAACAATTAACACAAGCTTTATGTAAAATGTTCCCATTTTTCACAATGAATGCACTACTTTATATAACCAAAAGTTAATGTAAATACTTTTATAATGTATAATCTTACGGGAGAGTGTCTATTTCTGCTTTTACAGCTTATCAATAGAAACTGCTGAAGAAAGAAAGACTGCGAGCTCAAAGGATGTGTTTGATTTTTCCAAAGGGAAAAGACAAATGAAGCGGGCATGGTTTCCATTCTTTGACCTCAACTCTGATATTTTCACTTCTAACAGACAGATCTTATAAAGAAATTTATAAACTAAATATCAAATTTCTTTCAACAAATGGTAAAAACGTTTACATACAGTAGAAAAATATGTAAAGTGTGCATTTTTAAAGTACTGGGTATAGGGTGTCTTACCCCAACATCAGTTCTGGCTGAGCCTAAAGCAAAGCAAACCACAATGCATGCGTAGGGTATTCTCCATGCCCTAGCACAAGATGTCAAGTGACTACAACCTGCATGTACTATGCACAGCCCAGACACTCTCCAAGAAGTCATATTTCCTGTGCATTTGGACAAAAAAAAAATTGGGGCTTATATAGCAATTTCCATAGCTCCTTAGATCACCTTTGAAAATAGCTGATAATTTCACATCTGTGTGTCATATAGGGGTGTATTCTTGTGTGGGATGTACATCTATGTCTCTGCATGCATGGGGAAGCCAGAGGTCAGGGTCATTCCTAGGAGTCACCTACCTTGATTTTTGTTGTTGTTGTTTTTTGAGATAGGGTCTCCCTTAGGCCTGGAGCTCACCTAATAGGCTAGAATGGATGGCCAGAGTCCCAGGCATCTCCCTGTCTCTGCTCTCCCCAGCGCTAGGATCACAAAGGCATGACTGAACTCCAGTCCTCATACTTGTGTATCTCCCCAGCCTCACAAATAGTTTTTAAGTATTGTTTCCTGGAAATTTTTTATATTTTATTATGTTTATTTTATGTTTGAGTGTATTGCCTGTGTGCATGTAGGTGTACCCATGTCATGCAATGCCCAGAGGTCAGAAGAGGACATCAGATGCCCTGGAACTAAAGTTATAGACAGTTGTCAGCTGCTATGTGGGTGCTGGAAACTGAACCCAGGTCCTCTGCAAGAGCAACCAGTTCTCTTAACCGTTGAGTCATCTCTCCAGGCCCAATCTTCTGGAAAATGTTTTTAAAAGTTGGGTTAACCAAAAACTTCACTCCAGTAATCAAAACACTGCTTCATATGTTTTACTCTGTTTAGTACCACTTAGCAATGCCATGTAAGATGTAACCATCTAAACACACAAAACAAAAAGGCTGCCATAGTAACAAAGGCCTTTTGAAGGGGGACCTGAAATAAGCAGTGCAGAACAGAACTGCTCTTTGGTAAGAGCCTAAGAGTCTTGAGATTTGTTTCTTATCTTGGAGGATTCCTGGCCTGTACCGCTACTGTTGGACTGATAAACAGCAGCACCCTGAAGCCACAAGGGCAGAGGTCTGCCAAGAGTCACATGGCCATTTGTGAGCAGAACCACAACCCTGGACTCGTGGCTTGAAGATGCTTTGCACCTTTAATTTCATCATGTTGCAATTCTAGCATGTGGCTCCTAAATGTGTGTTTATAGGGTAAAATCATCCTAGGAACTTCAAAAAATACTGATACCTGAGTCCTATCACAAATCTGTGATGTAACAGAACTGAGATACATATCTTGGGCTCTGAATTAAAAAGAAATAACAACAGCAATAACCCTCCCCCAGGTAATTCTAATATGCATATAAAATTTTAGAATTTGTCAGATATATCATAGCTAACAGAAGAATTTCACTTCTCTAATTTCCATCTTTCTAAAAGTCACTTTGGAGGGTGGAGAGGTGACTCAGGGGTTTAATGCTGCTAAACTGGCTGCTGTTGCAGAAGACCCGGGTTCACTTCCCGGCAACCGCATGGCGGCTAACAACTGTCCCTAACTTCAGTTCCAGGGGATCTGATGCCCTCTTCTGACTTCCGTGGGCATTACATGCATGGTGCACTTACATACAGACGAAATAATAGTCATACACATAAAATAAAAATAAATTCAAAATAGTTTAAGTCACTTTGGTGGACATGTCTGCTTACACTAATAACCAATCCCTAAAGCCTTCTAATTTACTGTTTCTAATCTACTGTAAGTTGAAAATATCTGCTAACCAAACTTACTAAAATTAAATATGAAATGAAAATAAATCTGTTCTGAGATTTGAGCTCCATCTGTGAGCTACTTAGGAGTCTTTGCAGGTACAGTTACTTTGGATAACAGTTTAGCAGTTTCTTATAAAAGTGAATAATGTTTATTAAATAACAAGCTACCTCACTCCTAGGTATTTACTTAAGGGGGAAAATAAAGAAAGTTAATGTTCACATGAAGACCTGAAAATTAGTATTTATAACACTATCACTCTTAATTACCCAAACCTGGAAACAATCCAAAAACTCACCTCAGGAAACAGATGGATAAACTGTGAGGCAAGCATACAATGGAAGACCAGTCAGCACCAAAGAGGTGCAAACTAGGAGTCCACCAACTGAAAGACATTTGCAGAAAAGCTATATGCCACTTGATTTAATTCATATGACATTCTGGAAATGGAGAAATAACCAGGCCAGAAATAAATCAGATTGACCAAAGTTAGGATGGGAGAAAGTACACACTACAAAGGAGCACAAGGGAATCTGGGGGTCAAAAAATATGTCTATGAATTGGAGCAGTTATTACACAACCAGATACATCTATCAAAACACTTCAATTTTATAAATTTTATCATGTACAAGTTATTGTTCAATAAATCTGACATTACAAGTAAAAAAGGTTTCTGTAACATGATTTTCAAATTTTACACGGTTCTCTACAACTTTTAAATTTCTTGGCTATGTAGCCTCAAGGTCAAAAGGAAACTGAGTGGTCATCTGCATATGTCTGATCACCTTCAATAACAAGTGACTCACTGCTTCCCAAGTTGAATCATTTTACCTTGTGTAGCCCTGCCAGAATGCTACTTTACCTGAAAATATAAGACGCACACAGAAATATGACATATACACCTATATGCATATAGACAGTCATGTAAATATGCATATATTCCTATAGCTTCCAACCCACTGCTTCAAGTTTATTTCAGGTTGGTGTTAGTGACCCAGTTGCATTCTTTCCAAATGTACTACAAATTTTAGATCTTGTTCCTCTTCCTAAAAACTAGAACTTTTAGTATTGTTTTCAGTTTTTCAACATGCATTTTTGAGGCAGGAGAGATGATGGCTTGGCAGTTAAAGCACAACCACCTGTACCTCTAGCTCCAGGAGATCTGACAACTTCTTCTGACTTCCACAGACACTGCACTCAAGTGCAAAGGCACGTAATTACAAATAAAAAGAAAATCTTTAAAGTGCATTTAAATACATTAGGTATGCTACATCACTTAACAATATGAGAAGTGGCTTCTTCCCATCATTCTTTTAAATCATCCTGCTTCTGACTGACCATTCAGAAATCACTTATTATAAAGCTGCCTTTTCCAAGGATGTTGACCTCTCCAAGTGAGTCAAAGCAAGGAGAAACAAAGATATGAAGAGCAGAGAGTCACAGTAATATAGCTCTAAAAATGCTGAAGAGCTACAAAGGCTATTATTAATTATTTTCCCCTTGAAAGACTTGAGGTCACACACAACTATGTCAGCATAAACATAAGGCATGGCGGGAAAGACAACTAAAAGAAGACAAGAGCATTATGTATTTTTAACAGTTTGAATTCACAGTACAATAAATGAAAGGATGGTCACACTTATAGTCAAGGGTACACAACTATGTGAAAATTATTCTCCTTTCAGCCACTGAATTATGTGTGACAATATATAACTAGAATGTTTTGAAAATTACTTCAGTAATTTTGAGATTTAGTATTTTACTGAACTTTCCCTCAAACCTGAACATTTCTTTCTATCATATTCTGAAATACTATCTCCAGTAACTGCTTTACTGTACCAGAATTTCAAAAAAAGGAAAAAATATACTAAAGCATCAGATATTTCAAATACTTTTAGCACACTGCAATAATAAATTCAGTTATAACCACTGAAATTTTATAATTCTGGTACACATAACTGTAGTAATACACTGGCATTTCATTTTAACTATTCATCTATGTAGTCTTTAAAGCACAGTATGGTATTACAATCACATAATGGTTAATATACAGAAAAAGCAAAATGTGACTTACCAGACTAAATCCCAGAAGATGTCACTGTACAATTTCCAAAGAGTCCCAAGGGAGCACAGGCATAATAATTTTTCTTCTGTACTCCAGATACTAAACATGAAACACAAAAATAAGCCTGTAATTCAACGAGTAACAATTTATAAAGCAATTAATTATATCAATTCTACCTGCAAAACAGGATGAAACCAGCAGGAGGTGCTAACACCGGGTACAGGTTATATAGGATACAAGAATTAATTCAATTAAAAAGGAGTTCTGAGTTTGGTTGGCTAAATGCATCCTCAAACATCTTAATATGCTCCTCACCATATCACACTGTTTAAACTCTACCCAAACTCAGAGTACCTAAGTAGACTAAATAAACACACAAGAAAATCTCAAGGCTTACATGTTGGTTTTATCCTACTGATGTGTTCAAAAGATTCTACAGGAAAAAAGGAATGGTGAGGCTGGCCTAAAAGAATGGGCCTTTTCCTCTGGCCTTGCTAAGAACTCTGTCTCCTGACCTTGCATAAATAGCAATCTCTAAAATAAGGCCAATCACACCACGCTCCCTTCTTAATAGAGTGGTTATGTGGATCAAGTCTGCTAGGTAAGGGGATGTGTTTTCCATGCTGCAAAGCCCTTTACAGATCTTATTATTATGCAATTAATTTTGGTGTCTGCTCACTTGAACTATAAAATAGCAATAATAAAAATCCTTTGTAAAGACTGCTTTGAGGTACATAGTTGGAAGGCTATTGGAAGACACTGAATTCTAACATAGGGAGAATGTGTTTGCCCAGGAATGTGCTTATGGAGACAAGATGTCAACACGTGTCTTCCTCTTCCCTTACCTTATTTATATTTATTTATTTGGTACTAGGGATTGAACACACCCTCACACAACCTAGACAAGAACTCTGCCACAGTGCTGTATCCCCAGGCCTTCTACCATTTTTTTTTTTTTTAAGAGAGGGTCACTAACTGAACTTGCAGCTCACCAACTGAGCTAGGCTAGCCAGCCAGGAAGTTCCTGGAATCACCATTTCTTTCCAGAATCACACGGGTTAAAGAGACAGATTGCCACACCCAGCTTTTACCTAGATGCTAGGGATCAAACTCCGGTCCTCCTGCTTGCACAGCAAATATTTTACCCACTGAGCCATGTCCCCAGCCTGGAAAACATTGTTTAAAAGACAGAAAAATCAGCTCACTCAAGGTTTCTAGCATCCATTCCAAGCCATCCTCCTCTTACCCGGGGAATTAATGTGTAAGACAATCTATCTTTATCTCTTGCATTCCCTGGTTAATTGGGTTAATTTGTTGAGACCAAGAAAACTCCCCAAAGACCTTTTCAACTTGTAAAAGTTTCACTGGTTGTGAAGTATTGTGACATTGTACTCAACTCAAGGGGAGGTGCTCAAAAAGTAGACAGGATTGATTTTATCCACATAGGTGTGCAGAGCCTAATAACGCAGCACAATGATGAGCCAACCTGTTCTCAGACTGAACACAAACAGCAACCAGCAACAGAAAAAGCCAAGGGTCTGCCATTTTGTTTATTTTTTTCTAAGCAGCTCAAAAAAGTTTTAGCCAAAAGAAATGGATAATTTACTGAATTAAAAATATTTTGCTTGAGAAACTAGAAATAGCTAAGCAACAAAACTAGTACTTATTAGCCACTGGAATGTCTTCAGATATTGATAACAGACATGTTTTATTTCACTTATTTTGCCACCAACTACTACTAAATTCCAGACCTGTAAGTCTGCATAGTTAACACTCAGACCTATGGTAGCACCAAATGAAGCTTCTAGTTGTAACAGAAAATGAAACAGATATCTGCTTCCTAATGAAAACAATTGTTCTATATAATTACCCCCAAAGAATTTCCAGAATATTGTTATGAAGTTCACATTGATATATTAAGTAAATAGATTTTAATGGTGCATGAGAGAAAAAGAAACCATTCTTTAAGCATCTTCGAGATGCAAAAAGACATGAATTTATGTGATATAATCTTTACTCCACAAGGAAATCATTACTAACCCCACTTCAAAGTATTCAGTCAAATATGGTTGCTTGAGAGTTGGTGCAGGAACCTGCACTCAGTCTAGTCTGGCTCCCAGTCCAGTTGTTCATCTTCACACTCACATATAAGCACAGCCTCACCCATCAACATGCTCCTGAAAATGTACATTAAGTATTTCTGTAAGTGGAGTCCTATTCTAAGTTTTTAGGGAAGCATTTCATCTGAAAGCTATATTACCTCATTTCTGAAATGATGGGGGTGGGGCAGTTTCTAATACTAGTTCCAGGGTTATTTCCAACTTGAAAATAGGATTTTAAAGTACAGAGGAATCTTATACAAAATCCTTCTAAGCCATACACTCTCTCGTAAGTGCCTTCCAAGTTTATATATATATATATATATATATATATATATATATATATAGCATCATAGTGTAGTTACTTGACACGCGCTCTCCGTATATATATATATATATACACATGCACACATTTGGTCTTTTTGAGACAGGGCCCCCCTGTTGCCCCCAGCTGACCTAGAACTTGCTATATAGACCAGGCTGGACTCGATCTTACAGAGGTCTCTGCCTGCTTCTGCGTCCTGAGTGCTGGGATTAAAGGTATTTGCAACCATCCCCAGCCCAAATTACTTTTTTCATCATAAATTATCAAGCATGGGGCCAGCCAGATGGCTCAGCAAGTAAGGGCCCTTGCCACCAAGCCTGACAACCTAAATTCAATCCCTGAAACCCACAAAACAGGGGACAACCAACTGCCACAAAGTGTCCCCTGACCTCCACATGCAGGCCATAGCATGCTCACACCCCCACACAAAATAAATAAATGATAAAAAGTTTCAATAAGGCAGGAAAAATATCTTAAAACTTGCTGGCTGTTAGCTAGTCTACATTTTGATGCCAGAGCTGCATAATCATAAAGTGACATGGATTTGACTTAAGACTCTTAGAAATTTAGATGGAAAGTAAGAAGAAATATTAGAAGAGAAAAAAAAACTGAATGTCTTGATTCTAAATAAAGATAACTTTGAAAGTCTTACATCTCATTTCAACTTCACATAATTTATGCCAAGCATTTGGTGGCATATTCTTTCCAAGTGTTCAGATGCACTGGAAGAAATATATTCTTTCAAACATTTTTTTTCAGCACTGATCTAGAAAGAAACAAATCTAAAACTTCTGTCTGGATTTGAAAGCAGGAAAGCCTCAAAGCAATTACCCATCTGTACTGAGCTGATGAGGAAGTCTAGAAACTAAGTCTATAATTTTGTAATAAACAAAGCATAGTGACTGGTTATCTCTGTTATGCCATTGCCAAGTCAAACATAGAATACGGAGGCCACAGGAGTGACCCAAGGTGAGCCGAGTGCAACAGCTTCACTCCAGGCCTCGTTTGCACTCCTGTCTGACATTGCTGCTTATGCTAAACTGAGCACCACCTGCACACAGGCACAAAGAAGTGGGGAGGTCATGAGAAGAGGAAAAAGGGGACAAGGAAAAATAAATACAGCAGAGAAGAGAAAAAAAAAAGAAGTATAAAGTATACTTTTTAAAGGGTGCCTATGGAGGGACTGACTACAAAATTAATAGCATCTTCCCAAATAGCAATTAAAGTATAATAAAAATTTCTCCCCAAATACACCTTTCAAATAAAATCATCCATTTTCAGAAGACTTTAAGTAATCTCTAACACTCACAAATGATGGATTTATTTGAAGGCTTGGAAAGGGACCAATGGATCTTGAATGAAAAAAAGCATTTCAATGTCTTAAGAAGGACAAAAGCTACGTAGAAACACAGACAGAAGTAATGAGAGCCAAGGATGGAAATACAATGTCTCCAACACCAAGAAGCTGAAACAAACAGAAAGCCCCATGACATTATTTTGTAAACAATGTGATGGGGGGGGGCAATAACCAAGGGCTACCAATGCCTCTGGATAGGGAAGCTATAGGTAACTAAGCAAAAGATACCCAACTACTGATTGCAAGCAAGGCTTCTACAAATAGAAAAGTTTGCAAACACTGACTGGCAACTGTGTGACATTTCTCACACAAGGTGAGAGCTACCATCGCAGTTAAAAGAAGAAAGTCCTTCAAAAGTAATGTCTCAGGTCATAGTTAATACTCTGACATAATTATGTGCACCAACCTCCTGGAACCCTCAAATATCTTAGGATGAAAAGCATATTGTTCCCCTACTCCAAAGTAATACTTAACAGTGGAAAGGCATGGATTTATATAAAAAGCATCTGTCTACTTGTTCCATGGCTTTGCACAGATACTTGAGGAATACTTTTTGAGGTGTACTCACCCAGCCATTCCTTCAATGACTTATTCTGTCAACAATGTTTTTTGAGTACTGTAGAGCACTGGGGCAAATAGAAAAAAATCTAATACCAGGCCAGAGGAAAAGAAATAATAAACATGGAAACACACAAACCTAATAAATCCAACAGTAAGCCTGAATGACACCAGGAAAGCAAAAAAGGCACTGGACTGGTTTTGTCCCAAAGAAAGAAAAGCTCCATATGGTAATTTCAGGTCTATACAAATTCCTTGCCCCCAAATCCATAAATCTCAGTCATTGACCCATATCCATTAACAAAATAACAAGAAAAAAAAACTAGCAAATTCTATTGCTAAAAAAATTGTTAAAATTATAAATCTGGGGGCACTTTGAATTTTGGTAAATAAATCCCAGTAATCATTAAAGATGATTTTAAGGAAAAGGTAGATTTTTAGGCAAATAAATCACCGGTGTAAGTTATGAGTTTTAATTCTCATTCCCACAACACGAGTAGAGGAGGGGGAAGGAAATAAGCTATTTAAGGAGAGACCATTCGGGGGAGGGAAAAAAAAAGGAAAGTTTTAGAACTCCATTTAAATTAGTAAAACTACTTTGGTAATAAAAATATTTTCTGATCTCAAAGACTATTCTAAAAACAAAAGAGGGACCAAAACAATTTTCAAGTGGTGAACACTGAACAGAAATCAAATGGTTTAGCTGTTATAGTACAATACATAAGTGGTAAACAAAATGCTTAGCCAGGTGGTAAGCTCTCATCATAAAGCCTACTTCCAAATCATCTTATCTTTATGCAATCTGTAAAATTAAATCAGAAAAGGCTTTGAAGGGCAGTTGTTAAGTACAGTATTTCTTTTTAAAAACCCTCCTTGACCTTACCAACAAACCATTAGCCTCCCCAACATGGCAGGACAACCCCATAATTGGTTCAGTAAGATATAAATGTGTTCCTCTTTCTGGTATCAGTTCTGGTAATAGCAAATCCCATAAAGAGCACAGGGTTCATTTTGTTCCCATTTCTGCTAGTAAAAATCAAACCCAGGTTACTAACATCAGATTCAAGTTTCACTGTAAATATGTCTGACAGTAACTGAAACTGCAAATCTACATACAGTCTTATAAGAAACCTGCCTCTTTTGGAAGCATAATCACAAAGGCACAGGTGTACCTGGTGGAAGCAACGATCTTCCAGGTACTCATTCTAACAGACTGGTGACAGAAATAAAACTTTTCTCTAAAGGAAAAGGCTGACTCCCACCAGATGATCTAAATCAGGGAAGTTTTAAATGATATTTACAAAATGTTAGTCTCACCATACCAAACACTTTTAAGACAATGTTAACAGGACTCTCCAAAAAATATGAAATACACAAATAAAGTAAGCAAAGTCACTGTTATGTACAAAGTCCATAAGCATATGCCTACATCCTGGAACACTGAATACAAACATTTACTTGTAAACAAGTAAATAAACCAAAAGCCAACCAAAGAAATGCATGCACCAGTTCTTACGAAATTAAGTAGTCTCCGTATTCACTAACGCTTACGTTTCATCCTGTTCATCCGGTGGTTCTAATACAGTTACATAATCGAAACAATGAAATGACTGGAACATTCATTCATTAAACAAAGTAGCACAAGCATTCTCTGTGACCTTGAATTAATGGAGCGCTCAAAGCTTCTGCAATAATAACCAATGCTATGTTTTGAAATAACTGGGAAAATAAACTTCGAGGAGTCATTTCTACTTCCTAGTGTCTATCTAGTTCCACAGACAAACTCACAACCCTAATTATAGGGTGGCTTTTTGAGAAAAACAATGTAAATTGAAGTTTAGTAACGTCAGGGACCTTGTGTAAGAACTGTTCTTTCAGCTAGGAGTAGCAAACACTATAACATGCTGCTGGTTCCATTCTTTCTCCTCTTGGAATGAGTAAAAAGTTCCAGCTTTCCACCTCCAGTTTTACCTGTCTCACAGACACACAAGAAACTGACTCACACAGACACACAGACCGACAGACAGACAGACAGACAGACAGACAGACAGACACACACACACACACACACACACACACACACAGGCTTTGCAAAAATCATCAGCCCACCCGGTGCAAAGTGGCGTGGGCAGAGAAACTGGGAGTCCCTACTGCTGGCTGCACAACACTTGCAAGGGGGAGAGGACTGGCCGTCATTTCCTCGGCGTTCTGGGCTCCTTTCTGGCAGCGCTGTGCAGATTCCACCACTAGAGAGAGTTTGGCAGCTTCACAATGGTCCGCTACTCAAGGTCTGCCCGCCGCCGGCCCTTTCCTGCGCTTCCCACCCGCCCCGAAGTCCACCCGCGACAGGTGGGACGAGGGCGGCGATACCCCAGACTTCTGCCGCTTCCGCTCTGGCCAGCATCGGGGACCAGACCCTCTCCGCGACGCGTCCCCGGGCCTGAAGCCCGTTCGCCCCGCCGCGGGGACCTGGGCCTCGGTGGCAGGTTGCACCCCGCGGACGGCGGGCGAGATGCGGATGCGGCGGCCCGGCGCTACCGGCCGGCATGCAATCTGCGCAGCGCGGGGCGCACGGCAGAGCTACTTCTCAATGGGGCTGGTGGGGCCTGGCTGCGGACCCGCGACCCCCCGAGCCCGCCATGCACCCACACTCCCGCACCTCGGCCCAGGCGAGGTGTCGGGGGTCCCGCACCTCCGCGGCGAGCGCACGTACAACCCCCGCCGCGCTCACCCCCGCGCAGGCCCCCGCACTCACACGCCGCACATTCTCGGCATCGCTGGCCCCACCCCGTGCCTGGAAGCTGCGGGCTCCCCGCACCCCGCGCGGGCCCCACCCAGGTCGCCAGACCCAGGCCATCCGCAGCCCAGCTCCGAGAGCGGCCTCGAAGGGCCGGCGCCTCCGACGCGGCGCCGCCAGCCATCCCGGAGGCCGGGCCAGGCCCCCGCCGCGCCGCAGCCCGCGCGCCCGGCCCCGCACGGAGGCAAGGAGGAAGGGGCGGCGCCGTGCCTGGGGCTGGCACGGTGGGCCGGGACCGGGGCACCCCACACGCGCGCACCCCACCCTTCGGCACCACCTCTGCAGCACAAAAGCTGGCAGAGGAGCGGCCGTCCCTGTACGACGTACCGGTAGCCCAGGGTTCCGCCGGCTCCTCTGCGCCCCGCCGTACACCCTTAGCCAAGGGCGGGACGGGCGCGGGGCTGAGGCGCCGAGATGCGGGCTGAGGCCGCCAGCCACCCAAGCCAGGTGCCCGCTCCTCTCCCACCGCGCGGCGCCAGCTACCGCCCGGCGTAGTCCCGCCTCCTCCGCCTCCGCCCGCCTTTCCTCCTCCTCCCTCTGGCTGCGGAGGCGAGGCTGGGACGCGCTGAGCCCGCCTCCTGCGCCCGCTCACAGGCGGGGAAGGGCGGGCAGCGGGAAAAGGCGCTGCGTCGCCGCCGGAGTCGGAGGCACCGGGAGGGCACCGCGTCTCCCGAAGGCGTGGAGGAGTGGTACCCAAGAGAAACCCTGCGCTTCCCCCACGCACGTCCCCCTCGCAGTCCCGGGAATGCTGACGGTTCCCTTTAAGGGGTGTGCTAAGCTGTGTGGGGATGGTTGTCATTTGAGTTTCTGCTTAAAGGCTCAGCACTGGGTAGAAGTTGAGGAGACCAGAAGCCCATGAAGTTACAAATTATACTGTCAGTCTTAAATAACTACTAAATATCGGTGTGTGTGCATAGCAAATTAAAATTCCAATTCGTTTCATTTTCCTTCTGTTCTCTCCTCCTTTCCTTCCTTCCTTCCCTTCTTCCTTTCTTCCCTTTTCTTTCTTGACAGGGTCTCCTCTATAGTTCTAGGCAGGACTCAAACTCAAGGCAATCCTCCTGCTTTACCCTCCAGAGTATGGGATTGGAGGAGTGAGCCGTCACTCACAGCAAGATGCCAAGGTGGTTAAACTCAGCATGGGAATATCTATTTGACATTTATTTAGCTCTGTGTGCCAACCTTTTTGACATACATTTCCAAATGTATCCTTCCCAACAATTCTGATTCAAATTTTAAAGATACAGAACTTAAGAAATTCCCTTGAAGTCATGGATCCAATAAATGGTTGAGTTGTTTGTTAATTGTAAATGTAAATTTAGGTTCCAGTTGTTTTTTTTGTTTGTTTGTTTGTTTGGTCTTTCTGAGACAGGGTCTCCCTGTAGCCCCAGCTGGCCTGGAACTCACTATGTAGACCAGGCTGGCCTTGAATTCACAGAGATCTGCTTGCCTCTGCCTCCCAAGTGCTGGGATTAAAGGCGGGTGCCACCATGCCCGGCCTTAGGTTCCAGTTTTACACCAAGAGGATTTGTGATCTTAAAAATAACGTTAAAATCTCAGTGGTGGTACACACATTTAATCACAGCTTTCAGGCGGCAGATGCAGGTGTATCTCTGGAAGATCAAGGCCAGCCTAGTCTACAAAGAGAGTTCCAGGCCAGATGGAACTATAGGGAGACTGTCTCGAAACAACAGCAACAAACAATAATAATGCTTTCTCTGAACATAAAGAATCACCAATTTGATCAAGGCTAATATAAATACAAGCAAGTCTTGATTCATACTGGTTCCAGAGGCTATATATGTTCCCAATAATACCAAGGTTAAATATAAATAAGAGTTGAGTAGATGACTTCCGGCTTCTCCTTAGCTACAAGATATTTATACTATTATCTATTATGTAAGGAAATGGAACAGAAAGTTATTGTGAGTGTTCTCCAAACAATTTTGGTCTACATTAGTTACTTTTTTCCAACATAGGTATGTCTGTCAAATACAGACCTAGTGCCCCTGTAATAGGTACTGAATACATAACCCTATAGACTTTATTTCTTTGGGGGGAGGGGATTCCTCATGGATACCTTAGGAGAAGGCACAGGATATTATTTCAGATTTTAAGCCATTTGTCATAGCAACTATAAACAATATAACTATAAACAATAGTTATGGTGATCATGCTCTTAAAATTATCATAGAAATGTTGTGTGTTTTATTTTTTTAAAAAACTGTATTTCATATTTTTTTCCTGTCTGAAATCATAATCTTTTCAGAAGAATGTACAAAGCAATGGGAAACGTTCAGGACCTGAGCGTTCTCCTTCAGAATGAATGCCTTGTAACAAAACCTTAGCCATGTTCTTTGGCCAGTAGCAATGAAGCTCTGACTTGCCACTTAGCTTATTAGGCTCAAGGCTAGTCCTATTGAGAAAGCGTTATCTGTAAGTTGCCTCCTTGCTGAGTGGTGCTTCATGCTCCCATCCTAATCCCAAGACACTCTTCACCCAACCAAAAGTTGGGTCAATTCCCGAGTGTCACAAAGAACATCTAATAAACCAGTTCACTAGGCCAACATGGCTTTCAGTGGCACCATGTGTGGCCTCACCAGAGCTATGTCTAGGTACTGTCTCAATTAGATTGGATGGGACTGTGAAAGATGTAAGTGATACAGAATCACTTTGCAGAACTTTCTGTGCATTCTATGAAGATCTGTTTATAAAGAGAAAAATAATGGCATGCTTTAAAAGGATTAGGCTCAGATGTTGAAGGTGAAATCTTCAAGGTATTCTGAACATGTGGCTCAGCTGCTCTGTCTCAAATGCCACTTGTGTAGTTATGTCTTAGCCTCAAGATGTCTTTCTCCCCAAAATTCACTTCAGCTTTCAGTTGTCTGGAAAGAGTTATACATGGATGGATTGTCATTTACCAAATACCAATTTGAAAGAACAGGATAAGTAAGCCTGATGATAATATAGTTCTATAAGACTGAAACTACAAACTGGGCATGGTAGCTCATGCTTTTAATCCCAGAACTGAGGAGGCAGAGGCAGGTGCATCTCTGTAAGGTAAAGGTCAGCTTGGTCTACATAAGGAGTTCCAGGCCAGTTGGAGCTACAGTTAGACCCTGTCTCAAAAAGACCAAAAACCAGCAAAAACAATAACAAAAGCCACCTGAAACTACAATGGTAGATATGCAAGATTTATCCCATCACGTTTTCTATGAACCATCTTGTTTCTGGAAGGGTGTCATTAGAAAAATATAGGCCATGTCACTATCTACCAACAGAGTAATTGAATGCAATGAATTAGTAGCACAACAAGGGAAAATATCAGAAACTAAGCAGGAGGATCATGAACTGAACTAAACATTAGTAACCATAGCTTCTAGCTGGAAAAGAGGAGGGGAGGCAGGGTTGCTGGAGTCCGGGAGGCAGGGTTGCTGGAGTCCTGGAGTCAGGCCACAGTCAGAGGACCCTACCACCACACAAGTAAAGGGAACTTCCAAAGAAGCATCCAAGGCAAAGAAAAAAGACAGTATACCACCAGATCTCCTCTGCACCTGCCCTTTAAACCTACATGCAACCATTATGAGATCCAGGGATTTGGACTGCAGGTATCAGATCCCACACCCCCACAAAGCACAGAATTGAATGGCAGAAAACACAGAGTCAGCTGGGGTACAAAAGATGGTTTTATTTCACTTTCAAGGTCTTAGTCATTCTTAAGGTTTCAAAACAACCACTGCCTCCAGTAAGGCCAAAAGTCAAAGGGTTTATGCATAAGACCCACAAGGAATGGGTGATGTTGACAGGAAGTGAGATGCAGGCCTCTAGGCTGCCATATCCATCTACCAAATGTTTCCTTTGTCTTTTCCAGAACCGCCACCTGTATGTGCCACATGTTGCAGTGCAGGTGTCCATGGATGGAGCAGCCTTGCCTTACACATCCCATCCTGCCTTTCTACTCTTTCCTGCTCTCCACTGCTTTAGGCCAAAGAAATATTCTGGTCTGGAGCCATGCTGCTAAGCCACCCCCCTCCTCGGGCTTAGGATCTTGTGGTGTCCCAAGAGGCAGGCCTCACACATCTCAAGACTTGCCGGTCTCTCTTCCCCTCTTTTTCAGATATAGGAGACTTTCCCAGGAAGCCTTTTTCTTTCTGTTTTCCCAGTCGCCTTGCCAGCAAACTGTTTACTTTCTAGGGCACAGGCTTTGGGCAACTGAAAATACCAAGGAGAAATACCCTGCAGGCAATGCCTATGTGCCCTGCCACATAAGGTAAGTCCAAAGTAGAAAATAAGTATCATAAGCTAATGTCTCAAACTATTATCTAGCTGTAGAAGTAAGAGTTAGTGAGTACTATAGACCAGGCTGGGGAGGAGGGAGACAGAAGGTGCTTACTTGAAATATGTTTGAATTGGTGCCCATGGCTCACCCATATGAAGGTGTCAGGCCACATTTTGGAATGGGGAGTTCAAGGCCAAGGAGATGCAGGCTGCCCTCCTGCTCCCATTAGGCCATGTATGGTTCACACCTGCATCTTCCCTCTTTGCCCCTGCAGTGTGTGCACAAATCACTTCCTGTACAGATCATTTTTTTCAATGAATATTTTTATTGAATTTTTGTGCATTTTATACAATACATCTTAATCATATTTAGAGATCCTCTCCTGTCTGTCCCCCCATAGCCCACCCACTGAATTTCATGCACTGTCATATATATGTTATATATATATATTTGAGTTTATGTACCCAGATGTCCCTTGGTGTGACTTAATCCACTGGCACCTGGTCTATCTAGCATTACTCCCTTAAAGAAAATCATTTTTCCATCACCCAGCAGTAATGATAGTTCCAGGGACAATAGTTCCTTGGTTAAAGTTGGGGCCTCCTGCCCATTTCCCCAGTTCAATGCTGGGTTTGTGTCTTGAGTTTGCATGAGTCTTGAACATGCTGCCACCATTGCTGTAACAGCACAGATCATTCTTTACCACTGTCTCTTCACCCAACTCACCCATTCCTGTCCTTAGTTTCAGTGTCACCATCTCTGGGAAGAGCGACCTGATTCCTGTCACTGTGGTCCTTTCACTACCAAACACTTTCCATATGGTGCTGGAATAGAATGCCTACTTTTCTACATTGGGATGTTTCCTGAGACT